TGACTGAGAAAATGAAATCGATTTTTATAATAAAATTTGTAATAAGACGCTCAAATTTGAGAATAAAATCGAGAATGAGTTTATTTTAGAAAATTACTTTCTTTTAAATCGCTACATAATAATTATAGGATACAGCAGTTTTGCCAAGTGCCTATATTCTAGAACGAGCATTAGCAAAAATCGATAACCGGAGAACTAAGCCGCCAGGCCCACAGCTTTATTCGCCTTCGTCCTAAGAGCATGGGCCAGGGCAAGCTCCCAGCTCCGCTCTCAGGCTCCGGACGTGGCCCAAGCTCCCAGCTTAACGCCCTCCAACCGCCTCCGAAGCGCTCCCAAGGACCTCCCAAGCGCTGACGTGGCCTGCCTCAGCTGCGGAGCTCCAAGCGCCTCCACCAAATTTGTGCGACGCGCTTGGGGAGCTCCCAACTGCGGGAAATTTTACAAAAACCCCCTCAAACTTCGACGGATTGATGTGGGTTTTGCGCTTGAGAGTGCCGGCTTCGATTCGGAAGCAGGAATGACGGTGGCGCGGCGGTGTTGCGAGACTGGGTGGCGTTCGGAATGGAGATTGATGGTGGGCGAAAGAGTTCGAACGACTGGCCTCCACAAGCCGATGCCGCTCGCCTCCGTCGATCGGAGCGCGGGATTTGGGGTTGTCGGTTGGGTCTGTCGAAGGGGTAGGGTTGGGTCTGTCGCAGGGCAGCGATTTGACAGAAAGGGGTGTGGGGTTTGCGATCTGCTCGAAAGTTGAAGAAATTAAGAAGTGGTTCCAAATGGCCAAAGTTTGGGGAGATGAAGAGGAGTGGGTTTGAGTTTGGCGGAGATAAGAGGCGTGAAAAATGAGCTTCAGTTGAAATGAAATAAAAGATTTTACTTAAATGAAATAAATAAATAAAATGCCGTTGAGTGAATAAATGCAGCCTAAAGAGTTGAAAAATGACCTTTGAGTTGAAAAATGAAAATTCATGCCGTTGGAGTGCAAAATTAAAATAGAACAGGGGTTTTTTTGTTGATATGGTTGCGGAGCTCCTAACTAGGAAGCTTGTTGGCAGCTCCATAAAATGAAGGAGGGCACACCCCAAGCGCTTATTTTTTTTTAATTGTTTTATTCAAAAATGCTGAGAGGAGCCTTCGGAGCTTGATGCACTTGCTCTAATGCGGGCAGCGAAAGCGCAGCAAACCCGAGCCAGTGCAGGACGGGCAGGCAGACCGATAAGCGGGCGCCACAACAGCGCCAAAGCTGTGGTGCGAAGCCCTGGAGAGCAACAGGACGAGCGGCGGTGGGGAAAAGATTTCCTGATCTCTGCATTCCGTCCGCGCCCACAATCTGTCGCCCCTCCTATATCTCTCCCGACCAAGCCCCGGCATGTGAGATGCCCCAAACTCATCTCCAACACTGCCCAATTTTCCTCCAACAGAAAAAAAAAAAACCCACTGCCATCAGCAGCCAACAGCCAGCAGGAACCCGCCATGGCCCTCGGGAATTCTCGCGCGCGGTCGTCGCAGCTCTCGCCTCCCCACGCCTCGCTCCTCCTCCGCCCTCTCGGCCGAGGAACATCGCCGTTCATCTATCGGCCTTCGGCGATCTCATCCGTTGTCTCATCCCAGCGTCAGGAAGCGGCCGTGCAAGGTCCTCATTCTTCGCCCTAAGGCCACTGAGCAGCAAGGTCAGTTACATTGCCCCAGCAGCAAGCAGATTACATCTGTAGCTTGAACTGCCAAAATTTGAATTCCTTGAGATATCGAAAGCTTAAATCTTTCTCAGCACCGAAACAAACACCGTAGATCAAACTGTGTAACTTGATGGAAAATGCTGACCAATCCGGCAAACCTCTAAGATTATCCAATTGAGCTGATGTGGTGTTAGTTTTCTCCGTTAGCCCGCTCAATTTTGGCGAGCTCCCCGCTTTGTTAAGTTCATTGTCTAGAAACATGTTTCTTGCTAGTTAAAATAAGGCAGATAGTTGAACTGTAGAAAAATTTATGACTGACAGACCCAATACCGAAATTTTCATCTGGTCACCAATAAAATTTCTCTTCTTCTTGACCGTCGCAGATGTTGTGAGAATGGTCTTTTTAGCTTGCGTTCCTTGCTTATGGACTATGATAGTTATTTGGCCGCCAATTGTAGCTTATATGTAAGAGCATAAACAATAAGAACTTGTTCATGGTGATGATTATATCTAATTGGAAATAACTTCAGGTATCCCTTATGTGTATGATAGTTACTTTCAACATATTCACATATCTTGAAGGTATTAAAATGAGGATAGAAGACCTGATATGACGTTTTGTGGGCATTAGTGTCAATTGCTACTCTTACTGACGTTAAAGTTATATTGCAGATCAGGTTGAGGAAGGTGGAGTAGTTGACAGCAAAATCTTGCCATATTGTAGTATTGACAAGAAAGCAGAGAAGAGGACAATAGGAGAAATGGAACAAGAATTTCTGCAAGCACTACAGGTTTTATTTCTGGATTTGCCATTATGCAGTAATTAGAATTATAAGATTTAGCATTGACCACCACTGTCTTTTTTGTGCAACCAGTCGTTCTATTACGATGGCCAGGCAATCATGTCAAATGAAGAGTTTGACAACCTTAAGGAAGAACTAATGTGGGAAGGAAGCAGCGTGGTCATGCTAAGTATGCTTTATCTCTATTTTTAGGAGCTTATAGAAGTCATTGTATGAGAAGAGTTTAACAACATTGGATTTCCTTTGTTCAAATGTCTATCAGGTTCTGATGAACAAAAATTTTTGGAAGCTTCAATGGCTTTTGCTTCTGGAAAACCAATACTGACGGATGAAGAATTTGACAAATTGAAGTTGAGACTAAAGGTTTGCTCTTTGGACTTTGTGCTGTTCCAGGATTGGACATAAAACAGTAACTGTTCTTAATGCAATCAAATTTATGTCTTATTATGATATGAAAGACAACTACACTTTTTAATTGGTATCCGTTTCTAATATCGACTTTGTCAGAGTCATGGAAACAGAAACCAGTTCTAATATCGACTTTACCACTGTCACACCTATTACCAATCTCTGGCATTCTAAACATAGTTCTAACGGGACCAATTAAAGCATTTTTTAGCTCCTGTATCTTAGAACGACGGGTCATTATCTATTAGTTTTTCTTATACATGCACTGGAGGAATCTGAATCAAATCAAATACCATGGTGTTTGTATTTGTATCCGTTTAATGTTTTCAAATTTGAATATTACTCTGAAATCTTTTCAATTCGAATTCGAATGCAATACTTTTAAGATATTCACGAATATTCATCAAATATTATTTATTCAATTAATAATATGTAGTTTATGAATGTTAAACTATGTAATGAAAAGTGTATTTTAATTTGGTTAAAAAATTTTGGTTTAAAAACTGTCATATGGGTCTTTAAGCTTGTCAAAATTAGTATAAACTTAAATTATAAAGTGTAAATGGGTTTAAAACATAACATCATGCGTGAATAAATACAAATTATAAGGGACAAGGCTCTAAACAAATATATGATAATCAAACGAATTGAATATACATCTGGTTAAAAATTCTATTCATTTATGATCCGAATACTAAAAACTATTTGTTTATAGTTAAATGAACTACCAAATCGAATATAACGGAATCGTTAAGCAAACAAATAAAGAAATAATTGTTAATTATTTGGTTTGTTTCCATCTCTCCACCTCTTTCTTCTACCTTCGACAACAGTCAATTAATTATTCAATTCCAGTTAAAAAATATTCAGTATTTTTCTTTGTAGCTCTTATGACCCTTAGTAGTTTCCTTTTGGGTTCTTGTGTTGAAGCTATTCTACTGCACTTGTTTCCACCCTATTTTTCTGTTAGCATCCTTCTTCTATCTCTGTGTCTGTTTGACTATTTATAAGCTAGAGACTTTGTGGTTAGTTTTCTGTCAAGTATAAATAATTTAGATTTCTTTACGAGACCACAGTTCAATGGTTTCCAGCGATGATAGTCGGTAATTTTGTTTATGCTGTCTAAGCTTAGCCATAATGTATCGTGCGATACCTATTTTCCTTATTCAGATGAACAACTTACCCTTGAAACTACTTTTATGTCAATAATTCCTTTTTCATTTGCGAAGCTAGTTATTAACTGCACAGTTTTCAACGTGATGGAATATATGTTTTGTTGGCTGTGCATGCCATTACATGAATTCAGTGATACTTTTAACAGAAAGTTGATGGGTTTTATACTTGTTAGTTGTGTGCAGTGGTCTTTTAGCTGTATGTACATATACTCAAGTTTCTGGTTCATATGGAATGGTAGTACGCAGCATTATGTCAATATGTTGGTAGAATATTGACCTGATAACCTCACATCATTTAGCTCTGAGATGCATATGTAAGTTTAATTGAAATTTCTCTC